CCGAAATTTCAAGTTCATTTAAAAAAACAATTTTCCCGAACATATCCTTATAATTTTGAAGGAAGAGAGAGAGAGAGAAAGAGAGAGAGAGAGAGAGGAAAAAACCCGTGTTTGTATGGGTACGCCATATATATCATGCCTACACTTCAATGCCTCTTCAATTAGTTCACATCGGTTCGTTGGCTGCAATCGGTTCATCCAAGTCGTAGGGTTAGTTAGTTATTTTCGCGGCAAACAATTACTAAGGATAATTTGGAAAATCCAACATAAGTATCTTTCTATCTGTTTACACATTCAATAATCATCAAATAAGAAGACAGACTTTAACGGAATTTGAACTCGCATGCCGTATCCTTGAGTGTTTTTTTTTTTTGACATGTATAATGTATTACCGAATTTGCCATAGTAATTTATCAGTCTTGATATTTAATTACTATATAATTTGGAATTATATAGTAAATGTCATTATTTTTTTTGATATTATAAGGTACTCTAAGATATAAAAAAAAATAGTCAGAATGAGTCATGCAGGCTTATTTTAATGAGATTAAAATAACTTCAGAAATATTCATTTCTAAAGAAATAATGTATTTGAAATAAAAAAACCGACATATTTTTACTACTTTAAACGTTATTTTTAGTGGATACACGTATATAAGTAGACGCCCCATTTATTTTAAAGAGTATTATATTTCGTCTACCCGCTTGCTTATTCGAGAAATTTATTAAAGAAAATGCGTATTCCGGTAATATACGAATCTGCATCCAATTTTCCAAAGGGCGCATTTTTAAAAAGTTTTTTCAAATATGTCATACTATTTAAAATAAACGCAGCGTCAGCTCCTATACGGACATCCACTAAAAATAATCTTTAAATATTAAAAAGAAGTACTAATTACAATATTTTTCTGTTCTTTTAACATTTTCGAATAAGTCAAGAGTACAGCGTGGAAGGAAAGTAACTAGGCATTAGAAATTGCTTATAAAATTTTTTAATATCCTCTCTCTCTCTCTCTCTATATATATATATATATATATATATATATATATATATATATATATATATAGCTGGCGATTCGTATTCGAGGATAGCCGCTTACTAGTTCGCGCTAGCCAATCCCTATTGCAGACGCTTGCTAAAGCGCATTTGTGTTTTTTCAACAAAGAGACCACCTGAGATTTTTACTGCAACTATGTTGAGCAGACCTTAGTTACAGTTTCTGGGAAAGAGCGTGTTATCTAGCGTGATCAACAATTTGAACAAAGTCAGCACGCTCAAGACCTCCGCCACGATGACTTGTGACTATATATATATATATATATATATATATATATATATATATATATATATATATATATATATATATATATACAAGGTAATGAATCATTTCCGTGTGATACGTCCCAAGCATTTACCATTGTCCTTTGATGCATAATATTTATTAGTCCTTACCCTCCTCTGAGACATACGGATTTTTTTTTTTACATTGTTTCCAGATTTTTTCTTGAATCAAGAATTCTAATATTTTTCCATTTCTGACCCACCCGGAGATTAAAACGCTGTTAACCAAATGACCTTTAGAGCAAACTCTGTTCTTCAGATCACCGGAAATCTACTTATTATTCTATAGAGCACTTTTTCTTTGTGTGCTATTGATAATATTCTTTATTGTTTCAAGACTTTCTACGGAATTAAAAATTCTCTTAGGCATCTCAGTCTTACCTGGCACTTAAGTGCTGCCAATCCAACTCTGAGATTGAGTGATATGACCTTCAACCGGCAAAGTTTTGTCTTATAGCTCTATTCTTACTGATTCTGCTTTTTTTCGTGCCGTATGGTTTACACAGAAGAGTTCTTTTTTATTATAGAGTGTTGGTTTCAATACTTTAAGAATGACTGCAAAAACATCTCCCTCTCTAAATTTAAAGGTAAAGTATACAGATGCATGCTGGAATTTCTTTCTAGCCAGTAAGATAGGCCACTTCTCGGTCTCAATGGACATATATCAGTTCTTTTTTGACTTGTCGTCAAGACGCTGCAATCACTTGTCTGTATCCATTTTTTGTATTTAAATCATTCTTTGTGAATTTTTTTTTGCCTACTTTTATCTTTCATAGATTGTTTACTTATTATTATTATTATTATCTTGTTCTTTTCTTTCACTTGTAATCGTTTATTGCAAAATTTGCCAATTGTGTTTGTCGAACATTTCTGCCAATTACATTTAACCATGGCCAATTAAATTACATAGATATTCATTAAATTTGTTTTTATCAGTTATTTATTGTTATTATAAATTATTATTTATTGTAGTTTATTAAGATAACTCTTAAGATATCTAAATCCGGATTTGGTTCTTACGAAATAATATTTCATGTATTATTATTTATATACAGTCATTGTATGGATTAAGAAACCTATTTCAATGAAATATATTTTCAGAGATTTCTGTTGAATATGTTGTAGCTGGCTGGTTACAATAGAGACAAATTAATTTTAGATCGCTTATAATGTTAACTTGATTGTGTTTAATTACCTTGAGTTTGGCATAATTAATTGAAATAATTGACTTTGATGAAAATGTTAGCTTCGTAATTAGCAAAATTATACTCTGTTTAGATTGTTAAATGTTCAAAAAAGTGATAGTTTCTGAGAAAATTATGACTACTCTCATTAAGGGTGTTTTAGTAAATGAAAGTAGGATTATATTTGCGAGTAAGTTTATAGGTTCCAAAATTATAGGTAAATTAATATTAGGCTGCAATATTACTTGTTGCTATACATGTAAACAAACAGAATTCTAATATTTACATTTGCTTAGTAGGTTAATTTAATTATAGATTACAGTTGAGAATTTCAATTTTGACAATGAGAAAATAATCTGTATAGGGCTTTTAAGATAAAAATAAAACTATATCGATAGGAAATGAGCAAGTTGTATTAAAATTGCTATTACAAGCATTAAGTAAAATAAACAGTGGCCATTTGAAATAGTTTTGTATTTCAAAACTATTAACTGAAGGTGACCTAAAGTGTGGAGTAAGACCAGGGATAGAGCATGAGCACATGTAAATATTATATAAAAGTGGGGATTGAATTTAACACCCAGCGGCGGCCGTCTGTTTCATGCTTAAACGCAATCTTCAGGCCATGTGCTTTGTGTTTTGGCTCGACTATCTATATATGCTGGCCTGTGGTGTATTTTGGATGGAGCTATTGCTTTATTAATGTTATTTAGGCAAGCCGTAACGTTAATGTCTCGAATTATTCTTGGGGTTATTGAGTGCAAATAATTTTGAATCATGATCCACAATTATTTCCGCCTCTAAAATAATTCGAACCATAAACTCAATTTGATATAAATGTATTTTTAATTTCCAAACACGGTCAGCGCATTGTGACCGTGTTCATAGTCAATGTTTTTCTTTCTTATCATTAATGCATCCATTATTTTAACCTTCTTTTACATAAACTATTAACTATTAAAATCCACACATTCATTCAAAAATAAAAATAAGAATAAAAACAACATATATATATATATATATATATATATATATATATATATATATATATATATACCCTGACTTGACATCTATGAATGTAACTCTATAATGATACAAATTATTAACACCCAACACCCCCCTCCTATTTAAACAATCGCCCTGGCTGTTACCATGGAAATTTTGGTTTCAATAATGAATATGCTATTAAAATACGTAAATTTCAGAAATAAATTATTCCAAGAAAAATTTTGCTTGAAGATGGAACAGAGCTTACTTTAATTCAATTTAATTCAAATAATTATATTGAAGTTTTCGGCTCTTGTTTTGAAACATGAGACCTCTTATGTAGCGTGTTGGAATCATATTTTTAAATAAATAATTATATATATATATATATATATATGTGTGTGTGTTTCTTCACTGGTAGGATAACTATGCATACACAAAATATTATTATACAAAAAGCGATGTTTTATTAACAACTGTTCTCAATCTGAAGTTTAATCTTGGAAAAAGACAATGGGAAAGCGTTCTACTCATTGCAATTCACTGATAATAAAGAAACACGATTTCTGGCGCGCTCTTATCTCCATCATACCGAAAAGAAATTTTTTAAAAAAGTGCAACTAGTCAAATAAGCAAGAGTTGAGAGATTGCAGTAATTGACTGTTATCTAATGAGTAAGCAAGTTCATTGCGAAAATATGGAGAAGATTAATATAAAATCTTCTTATAGTCAGATAATAACCCCAGAACAAACAAAATTTTAATTGAAGTTTTATGTTTTAATCTATTCATTATTTTCAATATATAATAGCAACTATTATTTACACTATTTACATGCTAGCCTCGGGTCAATCTTAGAATACAGCAATGATAACCAATCTTGATTTTATAGTAAATCCTTCTTGAGGTTTTCATCTTCAGAATAATGTGTCTAGCAGTAATTTCTGCTACTTCACTTTCATTATCTTGTCTTCTTTCGTCAAAGTCATCGATGTCAGACTTGCCCGTTGTTGGGATTTGAGAGCGGTTTTGGTTTTTGTCCATCCATTCCCTATCTTGTATTATTCGAATACTTCCTGTTTAACAGTCACATTAATCCCATTTCTTGCATGATTGCAACCACAATATGACTCGGCTTTAAATTACCCATGAAGAGTTGATAAGCTGTAAAACAAACAAACCAACAATAAAACAATATGAGCACTCCTACTCCTGGTTTCCTGGCCAGGAATTCTTCGTCACGAAAATAATTTTTGAATCGAGGTGTTGTTTGCAATTCACATGAAAGTGAGCTTAACAGATTCACTGTTAGTGTACACCGAAGGGATTAAACACTATATGCCTCAAATTATCTCCCCATCGTTCCTCATGGGTCTCTACTCGACTTTTAGGAAGACGACCGAAATAATGTGTGATTTACTAATGAGTTTGATTATTCGTGGAAACAGAGTCGATATTGATTGTTTCGTATTCAAAACCTTTATACGAATGCCACAGCAATGTCGAGACGGTATAAGGTCTATTTGATTAAAAAGAGGCGCCAATACCACAGTCCGTTGTAGTCTGTTTTAACGCCTTCTCCCGATGTCTAAGGAACAATAGCAGTTAATGTTGTTATTACTTATAAAGTTGTTATTACTTATAAACATTTTTAGTTTTTTTCTCTCTTATGTATATCTGTTGTTGTTAAGCCATTTAACAAAAGCTCTCATCATTATTTTTTTCACTTAATAACTCCTATAGTAATTATATTATTGGGTGATTAGAGTTCTTTTCGTTTTTTAATTTATCAGAACGCAGATGTTATTTCTGTAACCGTTTTTTTGTCGATAAATTAAATCCGGTAGCAAGGCAAGGTTTTGAGGAGCGTGGAACCACCTCTTAATTGTTGTACTTCCAAGGTCCACCCTGACCCGTAGTAGTAGCACCTGTTAGGGTCCCAGCTAAGGGCAAATAATGAAGCTCCAGACTGGGGTCAAAAAACTATGAAAGTATAAAAATAGATTGTTATAGTAAAAATACCAGCAATATAATTTTTGAAAAAAGAAATGACCAGAAATACATTTTTGAAAAAAAAAAATACCAGTAATACATTCAACAAAAATCTTATTCACAAAAATACGTCAATGAAACCTGATCTACAAAATGATTTCTCACAAAGAATACATATTATATTCATACGACTCTATCCTAAAGATTTAGTCGGCATTAAATAAACTAAACCGTTGTTCTGTTTGTCTTTAGTTTTGTTGTCAGAAAAAAATGGAGTCCAAATCGTGAGTTACGTAATGGTGATATTAAAAATAATCATAGAAATTTAACTGTGTAGTGCAGTCACAGACAACAGAAAACGTAACACCGAAATTCAAGGAAATACCGAACGATGTATTCGAGAAACTAGATGAATTATTAAGAGATTAGAAAGCGTTGATAGAAACAACGATACAAATGCTTAACTGTCATAAATCTCTTATATGGCAGTGAATGCTGGGCAATCTCCTTACTGGAAGAAGTGACTTGATGTGGCTCTACCGATGAATGTCAGCAGTAATTATATTATTGTGATTGGAGATGCTGATGTCAAGGGTTGTTTGGGTTAGGTGGGTAATCAACGAGAGAGCAATCATTTTATAGTCTGTTCAGTAGATTGTTGTGAAGTTAGAAAATAAATTCATCATTTATTAAGGAACTTCCGAATTCAGCTTCCAGTGGGATCTCTACTGTTTTGATAGGTGAGTAGATGCCTTCGAGAGAACATGTGAGCAATGCGGAAGCTTTAAGTGGAAAATCAACTGAAGGGACAATTATACTTACAATAAGAAAAAGACATTACAATAAGGAAAGAAGGCTAGGAGAATCTAATACTCACAGGATATATTGAAGTCGATAGAAGCAGCAGGAAGGCGAGTAACATACTTAATGAACCTGTCTGAATAAATGCATGTTAAAGGGGAAATACTTACTTAGAAAAAATAAAACAAAGAAAACAAAATGGACAGCCGTGATCAAACACGTCCTGAATGGTCACGGCACATAAAAAAGAAGTACTATCTAGAGTCTGTCTATATTTCTGAGATGAAGGCGTTGGTTAGATCCAGTGACAGACCCAAAGAAGGTGAGTTCAAAACCTGGTTAAGGCAGTGGAGAACTTTCAGAGGGAAAATTAGCAGGAGATAACTGATAACTGACATCCATCAAACATGGCACGTGGAACTAGAACAGTCTACCCCAGTGATCGAAATAAAGGGTTCAGTTCGAAATTCCAACCACCTGAAGAAGGCCGGAGCGTACAACGGCCGAAACGTTGTGACAGATATGGCGACAAAGATGAGGACAATAGTCCGACTAATGTAAATAAAGTACTATCTAGTATTAGTGTCACCAGAAAAACAAAGTAAGTCCAGTACTCGGAAAACTATTGGAGGAAACAGAAGATTCGAATCCATTACATTCACTTACGCGCTAATACCCTTGGGAAAGGCATGAATCCTCTTCTTCTTGCTCCCAGCTATGTATAAATAGCAGGACAGACCGGGTTCTGTAGCCATGGATAGCAACTGGTCTACCGCAGAAAGAACTGACTACCTACCGCGGGAAAAATCTGCCTCGTCAGTCATGTATCGGAAGATACATGATCGCCTAAGCGTGTATCATGCATGGCACATAACTGACTGATACATATGCAGGTTTGAATTCTCTTCTTCTCCTCCCAGGGTAAATATGCAGAACAGACAGAGTTCTATAGCTTCAGATGGCAACTGGTCTACCGCAGAAAAAAATGGCAACCTACTGCGGGAAAAAAATCTGCCTCGTCAGTCATGTATCGGAAGATACATGATCGCGTAAGAATGTATCACGCATGGCTCATAACTGACTGAATGCTGCTGTTTCAGTTGTGCTTTGAATTATGACTTTTTACGCTTTTCAATTTTCTGCTAGGCATTTCGAATTTTTTCTAAGTACTCCTATAATAATGGCTACAACTATTACCTTCATATCTCATAAAGATTTGTGCTCGCTTGCAAGGTACAGATGTTATCCATCTTTTCATGGTCTTTCACTTTTGCCTTGTGGTTTGGTGGAATAGTTAGTACCTCTAGCTGATAGATATTTCTTTCTTTTTTTTTTTTTTTAACAATGAACAGGTCTGTTTCCGTGGAATGGATTCGTTACTAATATATTTTAGATCGCGAAGTTGTTTACTATTTTTCTTAAACAGTAGTTGTTTTTCGCTTATTGCTACTCAATCATTTACACAATTCCAAATAGATCACCGTTCTTATCAATTCGTTTCTCTTTTCTATTTACATATTCCGCCTAGCTAATTTGTTGCATTAGATGATTATAAAGAAATAACTAGATATTGTCATGTAGTATTATTCAAATTTCAAATGATCTTCAGTGTCTGATCGTAAACAAGATTACGATATTGTTGAACTTAAGAAAGAACAATGATAAAATGAATCCGAATGTCATTTGTCATTTTTTATAAACTTTCTGAATGGATGATGCATTCTGCCTACGCCTTTTTCTTCAAGACATCCCTTTGAGATTAAACCTCCATCAGCATTTTTTTAAAAAGAATAATATTGTCAGAAGAAATTAATCTAAAAGTCATAACTTTGCTGTCTTTTATAGTAATGCCAACAGCTTTATAGAGCTATTGATACATCAAATGTCAAATATTTCCCTGTCTTTGGCACAGATGCAAACAACATTATTTATAACCCGAATAGTACAGATATTGGAGGATTGAAGTTGAGTTCAATGATCACGAAAGTCGAAAGCCCTACCAAGTGAATTATTCGTAAGAACAATAGATTGGATAACATAGGAACATAAATCCATATTTGTATACAAGTATTCGGATATTTTTAGAAGTAATATGCCCAAGATGCAATCAAATATAATAACGTTTTATGCACCGAGATTTTCTTTTTGACTTAAACATTGTTTTAGGATAATATGCGTATGAAAGCGCCTCCTGGATTGGCACACGGATGAGCACATCTTTGTATTTGAAAAAAAAAAAAAAAGATAGCTACTTTTACGCATCTGAATTGCTAGCAAGATTATAAACGAGTTAAGAACACTGATAAAGGCATGTTGGGGATTATATAATCAATTTCATCGATGTACATGATACCCATATTTTATTATCAGTTAGACAATTGTAAAGCATTCTTTAAGTCTGAGGAACTTGTTCAACTATCAGGTACTGAAAATATAATAAGTAGGCGTAGGAAATACAGGAAAGTGATTTTGAATGCCTGATAGGGATTATGTTATGATGAAGGCTAATAACCAAAATGGCCATAAAGTCTATGTAATTTTTAATATGTTAAGTACATCTTCAGGGAAACAGTCTATCAATAAAAGAAATTGTGAAATAATTCATTCAGAGAAGAAAAAAAAAGTTACCGGGAATAAAAGCTCCCAGATTTAGGGCTTTCTGACTTTTTAGGGGAACCCATACCTTGTCTTCCATTTCTTCAGTGTTGTAGCTGTACTTATTACGCTTGGCCAACTGCAGGTTGGTGAGGCTATTTAACCCACAGCTGGGTGATTTGAAATCAACTTTGTTCTTCTTCTAGACTAGTCGCCACCCATGGCTATAGGACCCAGTCTGTCCTGCATTTATTTCGGGAGTCATTAATTCATACCATTCCCATGTAAGTGAACGTAACGAACTTGATTGGAATTCGAACTCGGCTCTCCGATTTCTCAGACAAATCCGCTATCCAGTAATCCACCTTCCTCCGATTTATTTTATCCAGAAAATACTTACCGCTTGGATTAATATGCCTCTACCATTTGTGATATACATTACTATGTGTTTTAAATGATGATTGTGAAATTACATCTATCTTTCAAATGATATGGAATCAGTTTAATGATCCAGATTCAAATAATCTTTAAGTCGCTAATTTTATAGAATAATATGAGTTCAAACGCACCTATACTATAAAATATTCATAGGAAATTAAGAATCTTCGAACAAAATTGTGTACAATTTTCCAATACTACACGATAATTGCGGGACATATTTACTTTTTATTGGTAGACTTTCTTATTAAATTTTCTTTTAATGTTCTCACAACCGGCATTGCCTATTTCCTGATATGATTAAAAAAAATCTGCTTCATTTGGTCGAAATTTAAAACAAAATTATTTAACATTAACCAACAATTAACCCAGTTCACACAATAACATTAAAGCGAGATAGTATTCTTTTTCTATGTACTACATCCCTTCAGGACATTGCCGATTGTGGCCCTCTACAATTCCCTGTTATTTGTAGTTCTAAATTTAGTCTTTTTGCTATCTCGCCTAAACTCTATTCTACCAATCACTTACACAGTCTTTTTAGCTAGGTTATGCACTATTGTTCTTTGTCTTTCTTGTCTTTAATCTGAACAGATTTTGTCTTTTTTGCTATCTCTCCTAAGTCATATTCTTTTATCAGTTTACTCAAATTCGCTAGGTATTTATGCCATGTTTTCCTCTATCTCTCTTGCCTTCAATATGTCCTGTGAATGTTTAATTTTCTAAATCCTGTTTCCACATAATGTACCCTATGAATTTCATCTCTCTTTGTCAAACGTGTCTTTAATAAGTATCCTTTTAGTTCCACTTTCTCTAAAACTTCGTCGTTGCTTACATTTTCGGTCACTAGTATTCTCAGCATCCTTCTGTAGAAATGCATTTCTATTGATCTCAAGTCTCTTCTTCATCAATGTTGTCCAACATTCACTGCCAGTGCTCTTTTGCTTGTTTCTAACGAAATTTTCCTGTTTCTTAATACTTCGCTTGGCTTTTTGAAAGCATCTTTCGCTATGCCCATGCGTCTTTAGATTTCTGAGTCGGACTTTCTGTTAAAACACTTCCCAGATATTCAAATTTTTGTACTTGCTTGATTTTGGTATCTACAATTTGTAATTTTCCTGCTGAGCTCTTATTTTCGCAAACAGCCATGCATTGTGTCATCTTAAAATTGATGTTTAGTCCTTCCTTCCTCATTTTTCTTTCCTTTCTTCTGTGGATTCCTTTCTCTGTCTGCTATTAACACTGTGTCATCTGCTTATCTTATGTTTGAAGATTGTGTCCGCCAATAATGAATCCAGGTAGGACATCTAATTCTCTCAGAATCACTGTATAGGTTAAGTACGTTAAGAAGATGCTATATCGATCAGTATCCGCCATTTTAACATTTGAAAGTATTATTAATAGTTTCATTGTTTGCTGAAATACTCAATTGTAAAACTCACAGGATCATAAATCTCACTTGTGGATGATAAAACATTAAAATTTAATAATTTTATACAAGCCATTTTTTAGTTCTTTTTTTTTTCGAGATGTTAGCACTGTTTTCATTTTATAGTGTTTTAGCCATATTCAATATGGTTATGCAGCAATCTATTCTTGCTGTTATCTATGAGCCATCGCAAGAAAAGGAGTTGTCTTTGTAAGACCTTCAAAATGGCTGTACATCTCTTACGATTTGCACATGTTTTATAGTTATTAACCTTCATTTTTGGGAGTAAAGAACTTCGTGTGTGTCTCTAAAAAAGCACGTCGTTGACCGAATTGATCTCTCTTAAATTTGTTGTTCTTGTTTTTTATTGTTACTTTTTAGATTAATATTTGAAATGTTGATGTGCACTTCAGAGTCTGTATGCATGAGGGGATACCCAAATGAATATTTAATCTAATAGTTTTACATATGCATAGAAATGAACACACAAGCATCGAAATGTTAATTCGTCTATTTACGAAATGCGTTCACAGGTTTTAGCCCAACCTTAGTAATAATATGACAGCAAGAAATAATTTGGTTTTATTTTTTATATGATTTGTGATAAACGCTTTTTCCCCCATCAAAGTTTGCTTTCACTGTTTGCCTTGACTGCATGTCATCTTCAAGAGATCTTCTAACCTCTCGCGTCACTCATTAATTTAACGTTTGATCGTTATAAAAGATGAGAAAGGTATCTTGCATGCGATCATAGATTCTCTGCGGCACAATCTATCTATCTATCTATCTATCTATCTATCTATCTATCTATCTATGTGTGTTGAGCACCTCGAGGCGGTGTAATGGTTAGCAAGCTTGCCTCGCTATACCAGTGAGTAGTGAGTTCTATCCTCACTGGGTGTCCCCTAATTTGGTCCTTGTGCCACATCTAAGCTACGCTTGAAAAATCACTAGGGCACCTCGGCGTGGTGTAATGGTTAGTAAGCTTGTCTCGTTAGATCAATTACGACTGAAAAGTGAGTTCGGTCCTCACTAGGTGCCCCATACTTTCGGCCTTGTGCCACATCTAAGTTAAGCTTAGAAAATAACTATATATATATATATATATATATATATATATATATATATATATATATGTGTGTGTGTGTGCGTGGATGTGTGTGCTTAATTGTGTATTTAGGCAGCTGTTCCCTCTTTTTATGCAGGTTTCATGAAAGACAACTGCAGTTGAGCTATTATTAAATTTATGTTGTGTTCGTATAAGTTTTCCTTTTCTCGACATAAAGTGTTTAGAAATTGTTCGAATTCTCTGTATGTAAGAGCGTTTTCTGCCATTCTTTTAGACATTATCATGAATGTTATTTTTAAATGCTATTTTTAACTGAATGAGGGTGATTTCGAAAGGAATGATAAGTGACTAAGTTACAGAAGAAATTACACTTATTTGCAGACTACCTTCAGTTCGAAACAGTTCTCATGCTGATGATGACGTTAAAAAGAAATCTGTTTTATGCAATTTATGATAACTGTTAATAAATTCAACTGATTTATTTAACTCCTGATAAGCGGATTATTTCCTGCGAAATATGCAGTCGGGTGATAACTTTTTATTTATTTTGTTAACACACACACATGCATACAATGTTAAATGTATATAAAAAGGAAAAATATCGAAAAAATAAAAAGTAAATTGCTTATATCCCCTGAAGATTGGACGGACATGTCCGCCTACTAATCTCTGCATGCAGGATGGTGAAGGTAACATCAATCAGCTGACAAACTTTCTAATCATATATATATATATATATATATATATATATATATATATATATATATATATATATATATATATATATATATGTATATATATATATATATATGTATGCATGTACTTATGTATGTGTGTGTTTTATTTAATCTACTAATCTCTGGAGGCGGGATGCTGAAGTTAACATCAATCAGCTGACAAACATTTTAATCCTATATATATATATATGTGTGTGTGTATATATATATATATATATATATATATATATATATATATATATATATATATATATATATATATATGTGTGGTATATATATATATATATATATATATATATATATATATATATATGTATGTATGTACATATGTATGTGTGTGTTTATTTAATACAATCCAAATTCATATTTTTAATTTATACAATTCAAAAGAAGATTAAATTGTATGTATCGTAAAATTTTCAAAAAGTTCTAAATCTCTTTTACAGAGTGAGGCAGAAATATCTCCCACGTATACGCCCCCCACCCCGAATAGCTTACCATATACCGGGTAGGTATATGTAGGAGGTATATAGGGGTGTATTTCTGTCCCACCCTGTATATGTGCTCATAAAATATGATTATAGTTGTTTTCTCTTATTCGAACATAGTCTACCTTACAGCATATATTACTTCTTTTCTATCTAAACTGGATTCTCTAATTTTGGGTGGTAACAATTTTTTGAGAAGAGAAAGTGATTTCAAACCACCATTGCCTCGCAGCCATATCCCAACATGAAAAAGGCTATGGAAGTAAATCCAGGCAGAAAACATGAAGTCTCTAAGGTGGATAGTTTTCAATATTACTCTCCTTGCGGCAACAACCCCTTCAGCGAAGCCAGACACAAACTTTGTACTCTGCATTCCCTGTGATCACACGGTTTGACTGAAACAAATGACCTGTGTTCGAAACAAGGCACGGCTTCTATTGGACATCGCTCAGGCTTGTGACATGTCGAGGTCACTCTAATCTCATCACCAAGTAAGCTTGACCAACTGTTATTAACTCAGCAGATAAACGGGTCCATGTGATCGGAAATATATAAATAATGGAGGAAAGCGTGTGACTATATAGGAAACCTTTACATTTGAAGACTTCTAATAACAGAATAATGATAATCTTGAGGGGTTCTCCTCTTTTTACACAAATGGACTCACCCAGTATATACATATACTACGGCTACGTGAAGACCCGAGAGAGCAAGACCGAGGAGTCGAGTCGAGTCCAGAGTGACAGAGTAAAAGGTTGTAGGTAACCGGAAGAGTGAGGGTGAGGTAACAGCGTTGTAGGAGTCACAGTGAACAAGCACGTAGACTCAGTAAGAAGTCATACAGCGATACTTCAATTCCAAAGACTGTATATATATATTTTGCTACTAACCCGTATTCTTGGAACTACTAACCTGCTTTACCAGTTTGTATTATTACGTTAATACATTATTTTCATATATTCATAACTGGCATTTGTTATTTATTGGTACCGGATTTCAACCCGGAATCCACAACAGATAAAATGGTAAAGACTAAACACATTCTTTTAATAATAAAAATCTAATCATAATAAGAAATCATACATATATATGTATGTATTCATTTTTGGAAAAAAATGACAATTTCCATTATTTACATTACATATATTATGCCTATTGTTTTCATATCTGTTGTTTTTATAACAACGTCTCGGCTGTTGTACTCTCGACCTTCCTCGGTTGTATATTGATCTGGTTAATCTACATTCTAACAATAAGATGGCGAAATTTTCATAAGCCGGTAACATTTTAACAATGAAAATATTACATTTTAACAATAAGACGGCGACATTTTCATATAACGGCGACATTTTGACAATGAAGACATTACATTGTAACAATAAAATAACGACATTCTCATAAGACGGCAACATTCTAACAATGAAACGCGTACATTTTAACTATAACACGATTAGATTCTTAGAGTGAAACGGACTCTAATAAGATGTCTACACTCTGACATAAAATTGTTAAATTCTGCGAAAATATGTAGAGAATGAAATATAAGATTTCATACATAAATAACGAGACATGAAAATTAAGTATCGAAACATGAAAGCGTCCTAATAATATGCTTAGAACCTGAAGTGTAAAATGTATATACACCTGTGATGTACTGTTATGATGTACAGGTAAGAAACATGGAAATGAAGAAAATCCCTTGGAAATAATCCTGAAATGCCCAAATTGAAATGCAAAGGACGATATAACTCTGAGAAATAGATAGACAGAGGTCTACACGAATCAGAGATGAAATCAAGAGGAGTCATATAAGAAGTGGGATTAAAAATAATAGATTAACGAAAAACGTTAACGAAAGAAAGACCAAGAAAAAATGGAAACAGATTGAGTAAAAAGATAATTGGATTATGCCTATTGAATAACAAATGGGAAAGAGTTAGAGTGTTTTACTGGTAACACACGAAAGGAATATTATACGCAGTTATTGTGGAAGGATAAGAAAAAGAAAGCAAGCAGCGAATTTACAATAACTCCTGCAGCTTATGATGAAGTGAATAAAGCAGAGCACTTCATAAAAATTTATTTGTTTATTCAAAAGTTTAATGCGAGATCTAGAATGTTTTACTTTCATATTATTATATTAAATTGTTTATATATTATTTCGATTATTCTTTGCTGGTATCTTTTTTTTTTATATTTTTAAGCATTCATGTGAACTATACATTGTGTTTCACACGCGAGAGAAACAGTAGTTCAAATAAATGATTTCCTTGTAATTTCATGTTTGAAATGATCACTAATAGTCAAACTTAGAAAATGTCATGAAAGCGTGATGCAATGTAATTCAAAAATAGAAATAGCGAACCAAAAGTAAAATGAATAGGTTCAGAATGACTCGCATAAAATATGCAGTAATAAAAGTGCCGGATACTGAACAATAAAATAAATGAGAATCAATGTGTAAAACATGACAAATCCCTTTTCCAAATGTACTTCCCCAATTATCGGAGGGGTTTCTTCAATTTTAAAATTCAAAATTATTCATATTTATTTAAAAAGCCTTTAATGATGCAGTTAACTGTTAGATAATCTCAAGTCCAGTCAAAAACTTGGGAAAAAGACGCTAAAAAGCTCTAGTAAAACAAAAATCTTTCTTACTTTCTTACTTTATTTTCATTTTTTTTCCCGGCTACTTTCGAATGTTGCTTCATTCGTTTTCAAGAATTGTTTTAACAGTGAAACTAACGTCTCCAGGCCTAAATCATCGCAATTAACAATCAAGGAAAAATTATTGAAACAAAACAAGTTCAGTTGACCACTGATGACAATTCTAGAACAACGTAACTATAAACAATTTTTTTCTATCCTCTGCCAGCCGCAATGATGGAGAAAGCATTACCCCGAACCATCGCCAGTGAGAAACGCTGCAAGAGCCTCTCCGTTTCGCGAGGCTCGTCCCTTAATCGAGACGCAATCGCGCCAATCCTCCGAAGGAACGCCATCGAACGAGGGCCAATAACCCCTGAAGTCTCCACTGCTACAGGAATAAACAAAAAAATCTATCAGCAAGAGAAGAATATTTAACTATTTTTTTCATCTTTACGTCCCGGGCGACGGATCCCGGCTCAACCGCGGACCTGATCAAATTACCGACCGAAAATGTACCCGCACAGGTCGCATCCCAAATCAATGACTTCTCCATTTTAAAAGGGAAAATGGTAATGCCATCCGACAGCTTTCCATCACCACGGTCGAGCCCTACGGGTTCGATTTGGGATTTTTAAGACGTGTGATGTAGAGGTGACGTAACAGTTACTGACGTCGAGAGGCAGAGTTTAAATTCCAATCTATGCAGTTGCATTCATTTCGCGTTAAAGAACATTTGTTATATCACAATTATATCATAAGTGTGTTTATAGGGTCCCTGTGAGTATGTGGCATTATCGTATATGTTGTATTGAATGGCTAGGGATAAGTTCTCGTGGTGAACGAGTAAACTGTAATGGATAAAT